CTGAGCGTGCTCAGCCAGTGATCCCTAATGAACAAAAACCCAAGCACAACTTCAAATGCAATTAAGCTGTTGTTTAATTCTCAGTTTTCCCCCGTGCCGCCGCGTGCTCACGCCCTCCATCCCCAGGGATGAAGCAGCAGGAGCTGGGCTGGACCGGCTGCCTCCCCCATCCACGGGGAAGGATGCTCCAACAGGTCCCTGTTGCTGCCGAGCGCAGATATCTCCTGCGGGGATTTGTGGGGAAAAGCCCAGAAATTTGCAGTGTTATTCCTGCTGGGGTTTGGGTGGTGGGAAATTAATGAGTTTCCACTGCAGGGCCTCCGGTGGGCAAACAGAGAATTAATTGGGAGGGCAACTTTGTTAGCATTAAGGAGCATATTGATCCACTAAGAGAAATGATTTTCAATTAGGCTTCTTTGCCTCTTTGGGCTTTTTTAATCCCCCAAAGTATCTTATGATTATCAGCATTGTCTCCCTCAGGGCTGTGCTGTGAGCTCAACTGCAGTATTAGACACTGGAGACTCCCCATGGGGCGCAGGTCTGTGTGCCCCAGCACCATCCCGAGCCCCGGTGAAGGATGAAGTTTTATCAGAGCTGGAAAAAGCCACCCCTGAGCCGTGAACATCCCGGGAGGAAGGATCCTGCCCTGGGAGCCGACACCCCGCAGCAGCGGGGATTTGATCATCCCTGAAATTCCCCAGCTCGGGAGGGAACGCGGCCGCGGTGCTTTTCTGCTGCCGAAGAAAGAAATTTTTCCCAGCTAAAAAATAGCTTAAAGGGGACCCCAGCTGGTTAAAATCAACCGTCGGCTGCACAGGCAGAGCTGCCGGGAGGCGGCTGGGGAAGGGCGATGGGTTTTGGGGAGCCCGGGATGGGGACACCAGACGAGGTTCCCGCCGGAGTGGGGGGGTTCAGCGCAGGGGCCCCAAAATCCCCGGCACCGTTGAACGGAACGAGGCGACGGCTGAGCCTGGGCACGTGTCGAGGTGGCTGGGGGGTCCTGGGGGGTGTGTGTGTGTGATGAAGGGGTTGGAGCGTCAGGAACCCAGTGCTGAAATTTTGGGGGTTCTCGTGACAGTCCCAACACATGAAGCACATCTCGAGCCTGTCCAGCTGTGCCTCAGTTTCCCCATCGCTCTCGAGCAACCTGGGGGTTCAGATGAACACCTGAGAGGTGCCAGCCGTCCCCCTTCCTCTCTCCCACCCCATTGTGGCTCTGGGGACATTTTTCCCCTTGTCCCCAACCCCTTCCCTCCACCACAGCGCCTCCAAAGGCAGCCCCCCGGCAGGGAGCCGGGGCTTTGGCAGCCTCCCCACATCACCATGCCCGGACAGAGAGGTGCCACCCAGGCGTGGGGGACACTGTGACCCCCATCTCCCAACGGGCCGGGGTCTGCCGGGGCCACCCCCACTCAGGGAGACACTCCAGGCAAGGCGGATGGTGGCACTTGAGAGGAGAGGGGTCCCAGATCCTGGGCAGCATCCCTGCCCGGGTGCCGGGGTGCAGACGGGTGCCACGGGGCCACGGACGCCGCGGGGAGGTGACACAGCGGGGACCCACCCCGGCGTGTGAGCCCGGCTGTGACGAAGTGAGAAATAAGGTGAAAAATGTGATCAGGGCTCGGGGGGAAGCCGGGGGGAGTGGACGCGTGGATGGAGGCTCTCGGCCCTGCTTCGCGTCTCTTCCACGGCTCGTTTTTGCCCAGTGCGGGAGCAGGGATCTGGCTGCGGTGGCCCTGCCACCCCCCAGCCCCCTGGAGACCTGCGGGTGACACCTGCCTGGCCCAGGGGGCTGTGTGCAGGGACCTGGGGTGGTGGTGGCTTGGGGTGCCAAGTACGGGGACCTGGGGGTGACAAGTGCCCGGGCATGGGGTGCCACGCGCGGGGACCCCGCGGTGCCGGCTGCGCTGGCGCGGGGGGTGTGCAGGGACCGGGGG